TTCCAGCATATGCTCTGGCATTCTTTCTGGCATATCTTCTGACATTCTTTCTGCAATACTTTCTAGCATATCTTCTGGCATTCTTTCTGGCATATCTTCTGACATTCTTTCTGCAGTTCTTTCTGGCATATCTTCTGGCAGTCTTTCTGGGGTTCTATCTGTGAGTCTGACTCGTGGTTGAGGTCCGGCTGGGAACACTACCCGCCGAAGATTGCGGTTGAGGTCCGGCGGGGAACACTGCCCTCCTGCACTTGCGGTTGGGTTCCGTTGGGGAACACTGCCACGCGACGCTCGCAGTTGAGGTCCGGCAGGGAACACTGCCATCCGGAGCTGGCGGTTGAGGTCCGGCGGGGAACACTGCCATCCGACACTTGCGGTTGAGGAGGCGGAGGAGAAGGATGGGGAGCAGGAGGAAGAGGAGGCGGAGGAGGAGGAGGAGGCAGCTGACATAAAATCTAACAACCCTCACCTGACAGGTGGGGAAAAAGCGAGCAATGGCTCAAAGGATTGCGAGAACAACTGCGACGTCTTGAATACATGTATTTGTTCTGATTATTCTGATTATAAGGCACCGGTGGTCCTGGCATGCAATTGTCAGAGTTGGTCTTTCCCCCCCAGACACTTTTGCAGATTTCGCCAGGTGCCGCATGGATTCCCCCCGCAATCTGCAACCCAAGCCACGTAGGCCGCACTGGCAGAAAGACCTGACCCAGGCCATTTGGAGAGCGATGCACTCTGGAAAACAATCAAAAACAGCAAAACCAGAGTCGCGTAGCGGCAGGGATAAGTGGTTTGCGGGGGGGGGGAATGTTGGGTGCTTGGTCGGAAGCACCTTGCGGCCAATAAGCAATAGGCATCTTTCCGGTGGCCTAGCCTTGTTCCCTACAAAAACCTTTTGTAAGACTATATAACTGTCACTGCTTTTGTCACTCCAAAATGATTCAGTAGCGCTTCCCCACCCCTTTAAGGGGATCCAGGTGACTCAAGGATAGCCACTCCCTCGAGGTCCTCCCATTAGCCTCTATATTAAAAGGCTCCCCAAAGACCCCCTGACAAGAGGGAAACCGAACAGCAATGGACCAAAACAAACAAAACCGTCTAAAACCCATTGGTTGTAGGCTTCCCCCTATTGAAAAAAGAAACACAATACACGCCCAAGGCGCCAACGTTGCGTAGTTCCCCTCCACATGTGCCACCCGGCGCCGGCGCCCGCCATGGGCCATCGGGTCCTCCACGCGGTCACCAAAGAGAGTGGAGAGTGCTCCGGGTACCTCCATTTTTCACAAGGTCCAAAGGCGCGAGTCACATGGAAAAAGCACCCTCGCAGAACGTTACAAAAGCAAGAGCACTTGTTCTGTTTTCAAAATATAAGTCAGTGGCAAAATATATTTCAGGTTTCCATGATACGGCCAAGAAAAGACAACGGCTTGTGGAGGCACAGTATCCTTTGCTGGCATTGCCTTCTTCAGCAACGGGAGTGCTCTCCAACAAACGTGAAGCCTTTGTCCTTGAAAGCACGGCCTCTATCGCTATATAAGTGGCTCGACGAATACAAAGTAGGACTCGAGCAACAAATGGTTCATGCATGCCCCCAGCTCCCCAAAAGATCCTTTTCTCCCTCTGCTCTCTGGCCCTTTTCTCCCTCTGCTTATCAATCAGCACCTTGGTTCCTCTACGGTTCCTCCTTCCACCGGCACCCGCCACCCAGCCGCCTCCAGGCGTTGCCGCTTCGTCGGCGCGGACGACTCGTCGGACGACGCGTCGGACGACGCGTCGTCCGCGCCGGACATGGCACGGCGCCGCGACGCCCGTGGCCGGGAAGAGCGGTGCTAGCTGAGCTAATCCATCACTGCTGGGCACTTGACCCACACCTCCAGCATACGTCCGAACATGTTCAAACCTCAAATCATTCGAGTCCCAAGGAAAACAACAGTTGACATCTGTTCTTCCCTTGGGGTTAATGGGTTATATACAGTAATCGTTTTCTCAGACTACCCACACCTCTGTGTGGCTGATTTGGCGTTCTCTTTTGGTCCTTCTTTTGCATGATCCGAGTTTTTGTTGATGCTTTCTGCAACCATTGAGTGCTTGGTGCTTGGGCTCCAGTCCGGATTGCCTTCAAGATCCTTCCTTCGCAAATGCTGAGAGGCCAAAAGTCAGAGAACGGCGCTGAATGTTGAGCATGTTCAGCACCGAGCACAGCAACGACCGCAGGGAGCCAGCATTATGATACTTTTCCAGGTACAAGGTGAAAATGAAACTGCAACAACTCTGGGGCCAGGATAGTTCTCAAAAAGAGCTGGATGAGTGTCTATGAACCATAAACTAGCTTGAATGCACCAAGAAATGCTTGGGATATCTTGGCATGTCTGTTATTGAGTGGCGGGTGGATTTGGAGCCGCAAAATTGGCAAATCCTGCTTTGTCTGGCCCACATTTTGCCGTGGTTGCAGGTCAACCTGAAGAAAAGCCTTGAAAGGATGATGTGGCATCCGTGCAATGTCGTTGTACAGTTCTATAAGGGACACCTTCTCCTGCGCCCTGTGGCTACCCAGCTTCCAACGCGTTGCTTCCGGCTCCAACGGTGCTTCGCGGTCACGCACCTCCTCGTCCATTGAGGCCGTCGCAATCGCCCGCGAACCGGCCTCAAGGACCACTAGTGCTGCTTGAGGTTCAAGCTCGGTTCTGAGCACCCCACAAGCTGGAAGGCTCTTTCTTACAACCCTTGAGCTGAGTATAGGGCCTCTTGCCACGCTCCTCCCTCGTCCAACACCGACGACCCTCTCCACCATCCGGGCGCCCATGCGTGTGGCGACCACGCCCGTCGTTTGGGCTGACTCGGCACCGCCATACCAGGCACTGCGAAGCGAACGCGAACTCGAAGCGAAGGCATTTTTCGAGGGATTGGAGGTGGATGTTTTTGTGGCACCTCTGATGAAGCGGGACTGGCAAAGCACGAGACCTATAAGGAGTAATTATTGAGCAGGATTGAGGAATAACCTGATGAAGGTTGCCACTGCCACCGCTGTTCGGGGAGTTGTTTACCAAAAAAGACGCCAGGAAGAGTAGGGCCCCAGTAGGTAGGGCTGCACATTCAGAATACACGTTCGTTGTCTTGGACTTCGTGTCCAATACATGTGGGAGGTGGCCCAAAACAGCTTGAGAGCCACCCTGGGATCTGTGTATGAAAAGGGGAGGCCTCCCAGTTTGATCCCCTGGAAGAAGGGTCATAGATCAAAACCCATGGGTTGGGCCAGTTTGTGTTGCCAAACGGACCATCCGTTTGTCATGCCGTTCTTTCATAAACGGTGCCAAGAACCTGAAGGCGTCCCAGCGTCTTGCTGTTGTAGCTGAGGATCTAATTATCATGTCTACCTTACGCTTAGCTGAGGGTAGCCATAATGAGACGCATGCGTGAAATGACAAAGACCAAAAACCCTTAGCTTGGGGTCCAAAAAATACACCACCCCGTCATCCCCTGTCTTCGTCCAAGTACGCGCGCGGCGAAATCAGTCGAGTGCACCTGCTGGCCGAAGGAGGGGGTTGGGAAAGCCCGGCCGCAGCAGAGGATGCGGGAAGCCCGGGCGGACCAGCCCCGGCACAGGCGTCGGGAAGCCCTCGGAGAACGGCCATGTCTCGCGGTGGCGAAGCCCATGTACGAAAGCCGGTTCATGGGACAGTTGGGGACAATCTACCAATCCCCCACCGGCCCGGTAGAGAAGCCTGTTGCATCGTTCTCCACCAAAGTCGTGGCTGATGCATCTGTGTCACATCAGGGTCATTCGCCAAGAACCTTCGATATGCGACCTCCTGCCCAGGGATGCCCAAAAGCCTCTATAAAACACCGCGAACATATGCGAAAATGCATGTCTATGCCCACGTGGTTCTGTTCGCTCAACTATGTTCAACCGAAAACTCCGTGCAACATCTTGCAACCACAAAAAGGAAGGAAACGCCCATTGCGACTCATAAGGTCTCCACACCCTCACGGACCAGCAGAAAGCGCCACTGATAAGACTTATAAAACCGGTCCGTCCCGCAGGTGGGCCCCTTTCAACGCGAAAACCAATGACCTTCAGACCCCTTCAGTGCCCTTCGGTGTCCCCGCCGCTGGCATGTGCTGATTGGGGTTCACCGGAGGTGGGGGCATGCCGACACCGGCCTGGGTGAAGCAGCATTTCGGACGGGTGACAGGTGACGGAAGTGACAGAAAGTGACGGTGCAGGGGAGATCTGAGGGGTAGAAACACACAGTGCTTCAAGTGCCGCATTGAATATGTTCAAAGATGTTGGAGAAGTCTTCTCACAAATCTGGGCCAGGATGTACAACTTTGGCATGCGAGCTCGTTCCTAGCTGTGAAGCAGGCGATTCTGCTTTCTTTTGGATAGCGATCCCATCAGCTTGGGCCCTGACAGGCGCAGGCCGCAGATTTCGGGCCTGGACCGATGATTCAACGAGTAGACACCCAGCAGGACGCTGACTAGACTGGGACTGACAATCGTTTAAGTCGCTAGATTTATATGGTGACATATATAATAGTCATATAGTGACTACAAGTCTCTTCAAGTTCTTGTCCGACATGATTGTTGGAAATCACGGGGGTTCATGTGGGACCCTCTTTCAAATATCTGGTGCCAAAACAAAAAGCAAGCTCAGCTTCTTCTTGTGCAGTGAGGGTGTCAATGTGTAAAGGCAAACAAGATTGAATAAATGTTTTCGCCAGGACTCCCAAACCCCAGGTCCCCCCTCCCAGAACCGCCCGGTTCTGAATCGCCCCAACGAGCAAGACCACCTGCGGCTTGCCGTCCGGCGCCCGGAAGATCTCGAAGCTCATCGTGGTGCCCGCGAGATCCGAGGTCCTCCCATCGCCAAGGTCGCGTCACCGCCCACGCTCACCGTGACTTCCACCACATTGGATTGGGGCAACCCAGTGGTGATCCTCTGACTGAGTAGGTCGAGACGAAAAACCGATAAAGAATGATCGGAACAGGTCGACGAACTGGACCCTGGTGGCCTCACAGTTCCGGGTTCGTTCCTAAGGCTTTCGGAACCAGCGGGAAAAAAGTGTGGCAGAAGAATAACATGGAAATATACACTAACACTGTATTCGAGGCATGGCTAGGAGAAATTCTGCTTTATCCCACGTTCAAGTCAGAACTGGGCAAGTACCTTGCGATCAGCAAAGCATCCTTGATTTGAGATTTGGGTTTCTACTTTCCAGCCATGCCTTTGTTGATGGATCTTGATGGCCATATGATGCTCAAAAACGCTGGGAGTGGTCGGCACCCACACAGAGTTCGGCACAGTCCTTTGTAGATCCACTAGTCACCCCCCTCGAGGTCCCAAAACGATTCTCTCTTTTTCACGCGTCGCAACCTGTGCTCCTAGTAGCGTCCGATCGCTCCAAGTAGTAAGGCCAGGAGCCCCTAGTAGCGTCCTTGGCCCCTAGTAGCGTTCTGTGATTCGGAAGTATGTTGAAGTTGAACCGAAAAACATCTCTCTCCATCGCCCTCTCCATGAGATTAGCCCGCCCCCCCGGTCCTGTATTCCGCGGCCACGGTTTCCTTTGCAAACCAAATGTCCTCCCAGGCCCAGAACGAATTCTGGGGAGTGGCTAGAAGGCATCCGGAGGGAATCCTCCTGCTAACCACCGCCACCAAAAGAAACACAACAAAACTCATCCAAAGACACTGACACTGACCAATCCACGCACCACAAAGCTAGGCTACCAAGCCACCACCAGGAAGCATCTATCTTGGGTATATTCCATTGCCAGTGGCAGTGGATGATGATGATGATGTTGATGATGATGATGATGACGATGACGATGACGATGACGATGATAGTTAGTAAAGACCTTTCCCCCATAATCTTCTTTTACCGACCGTTGCTGGCAATGGATACAGCCACCAGCTCCACCGAAATGAAAAAAAGGATCTTCCCCAGCCACCCACAGGGCTCCTGCGAAATGTCCGGATGGATCATGAACCTCGACAGGACCAGGACACGAGAAGAAGCACCCACCGGTGGAAAGAACTGTTGGTGAAGAACCTGTGTGGGTGCTGACACGTGGTTTTGTGTGACGAAACGAGCTGCCACACGACTTGTTCTGAGATAAGATTCCTTCCTTTATCTGCTCCACTAGATAAAATTCTCGCACGAACCTGCACAACTAGAAGAGGGAGTCTTCTTCATTGTTGTTGGGGGGCATTTACTGGTTAGGCAGTTGCAGAACTGCATAATTAGTAGGTATATAATACGTCAAAAAGGGCCCGGGTCACCGGCACTGTAGCCCCCGGCCCGAAGCCCTTCACGGCACTGTAGCTCTTCACAGTGCCGATCATCATGTTCACGCCCCTGGCGCCAGTGGTGAGGTCCAGTGTCACAGGTGTCGGTGGGTGGCGAGGTCCGCATGCGTACGCGCGATGAATAGATCAATACGCTATGGAGGTCCGATCAAGGGAGACAGGCTGCTCAAGAGCACCAACGAAAATCAGGTGCATTGTCACTACTTCAATGGTTGACCAAAGCCGACAAAACTGCCTCTTGGTTATTAAGCTACCCCATTCGCCCGACATTCAATTGTTGACCGCCATGTCTGAAGTTTTGTGCTTTTGTTTAGGGCGAGTTGCCCGCTCTCAAGGTTGTGTAAACATGCACCCGCACGATTTTCCGAACTACGCTGGTCGTCGGTCTTCAGCTTTAGCACCACCAAGATTCCACAAGAGCCCGGTGCTTGAATTTGGTTGCGGAGACCCACCGGACAGGTCTCATGTGGGGAGAGAGCTAGGACCATCGCTCCGTTACACGACCATGCAGGGCGCACCCGCCGCAGCTTGGAGGACCTCCAAAGCCACCGCCTGGGCCAAGGTCACCCCACGAGGTTTTACTGGTTGAAGTACATGGATGCATGGGCCATTCTCAAGTTGAAATAGTTGTGGCATGTTGTGGCTACATGAGTAATGTTCATGAGTACTGGAACCATTGTATAGAATCACTACTGGAAACACCTCAGTAGTTCTAGGCACTCTAATGGCAATTATATAACGACACTGTGGACACATTATTCCAAAACTGGTGGAAACATGTTACCATGATGGTAACATAATATTGTAACCGTAGATCTGCATGTGAGTCGCGCATTGTGGTTGTACCCAGGATGATGGTACAACGATATTCAGAGATCTGTCGCTCTGCCAATATTAAAACCTAGTAGTCCAAGCTCTCCAAAAAATAAAGACCCCCAAAAATACTCTGGTTCCGCCTTGGCTTGTCGATTTAGCTAGCGTTTGAAGCTCCATTCAACAGCTCCCAAACCCACTTCGAAGCGGGAAGTCGAGTTCATTTAGCCACTTACTTACTGTATACCAGCGACCTGGCATATCCTGGCGCCAGCATCGAATCCTGAGGTGGGGTTCGGAAGTTCTTACACGAAGGCCGGGATACAGTCTTGAGGAGCTTGGCGGTTTTTCACACAACCCCAAGCCCGGCCCGGGTGTGAACATATCGAAAGCACAGCTGTGAAAGTGAGGTAGATGTGAAATGTTCCAAGCACCAAACTGATCCGCAATTTAACAAAACACAAATCACTGAGATCCACCTGCCCACTGATCCATGTCCACGGATCAAAAAAAAATGCTCCATCTGTTACTGGATCACACTGGATCGATCCATGTATTCACGAGCAATCTTCCGTTGAGTCGTTCGCATTCCGCTCTTTTTAGATCCGTTTCTGCGTCCTCCGCGCCTCCCTTGCCCCAGGCCGCCCACATGGCAGCAGCTGCAGCGCCTAAGGAGCCAGCTGGCCAGCGGCTCGTGGCCAGCGCCGTCATACCGTGTCCCATGAGCATGATCACAGCTCGAGTAGGTACTAGAATAGACCCCAAAGCAATGAGTATTGTCTTGTATATGTTTCCTCCTCCACGAGGTCTTAGGACAATCATCCTCTCTCAATCCAGGCCCATGAAGAAAGTAGATTTCACAAACCAAAAACATGGGGGTCCACTACTAACCACCAAACTTGGGGGCCCTTGCGCCATCTACAGTGGTGGCGTAGAACCTTCAGAAACCTTCATCTCACACTCGGCACCCGGACAGGGAGAATCCTCCCAGCCCCAATCACCTGCGAAACCCCAAGGGCATCGCACATGCGGCGCCACATGCAACGAAGCAACGAAGAAACGAAGCACGTGTGCAAAGAGCAACGAAGCCAGCAAACGGTTGATATTTGTTGACATGCTGAACCGATTCTTGGATAGGTGCTGAATCGGTTGGTTGAACCCATGAGACACATGGCAAGGACATCCACAAAGCAGAATCCGAAGTCTACCCTCCGACTCCCATGTTAGTGATTCGGGACTCATAACTTGTCCAATCTCCCGGCCCCCGGTTTGCAAAATGCTCCGCTGCGTGACTCCTCCCCGCCCACTACCTCCGCCCCTCCGCGGACCTCCCCAGTCATCACCTGCAACGCGCGACAAGCGCGACGCCACTGATTCCCCTACACACGAGGATCTCAGGAATCAGCTTAAAGTGTGAAAATGAGAGGGGCCCATACTCATCATGCTCACTGTTTGGATATGCGAACGGACTATTGCAGTGCTGGATGGAGGGTCGAATGAATCACCCAGATGAAATTCAGCTGATCCATCTCTTCCGACCCAGACGGCAGGTACTGCAGGTATCTCCGTTGAACTCTCAAGACGTGAGCTGAGACGACTCAGCTCAGGCGCCACGTTAGACTGATCCGATCCCACTGACTGACTGATCTCCCATGGCAAAAAAGAACATAAGACGAAGCTGCTGGGATGTGTGCTACCGCTCAACAACCACAACTAGCAAAAAGAATTTAAAAAGAAAGGTGCATTGTCAGGGAAAGGTCTCTCTCCCTCCTTTTCTTTTGCTTCAGTTGTCCGAAAGTCGCAAGGAAAAAATGGTTGCAATGAAAGGTGGTAGATCGAAAGGATGGTCCCGGACTCATCGCTCGGGGGAGCTCTGGGCATCCCGACCGCCCCAGCCGCCCCAGGAACTCCTAGACGTTGCGGAGCAGTTCGGTGATGTGGGCTTTCGGTGGAAGGAAGTCCACCACCAACATGCCGAAAATTCCCGTTTGTGGTCTTTTTTCTGCGCACAGTTCCCTCCTTAAAGAAAAGTAGGCCCGTGGGCCTTTCGTTCAATTGCTTGGCTTTTGCCCTATGGCTCCAAGCAACCATGGACTCTGTATACAGCAAGTGACCTGTTCATTGAAAGGGCTACAGCACCATCATGTACAATCTACAGGGCATCGGTCGGAGGGCGTGCACCTGATGGTCTTGTCACAAATCACCTTCCTCTTGCAATTAAATAGATCAAAGTACTGGGTCTCTCCCAGTAACCTAGAAAACAACAAAATGTGGAATGTGGTCAGGATGTTCCTTCTGCCACTGGATGCCACTCGCTGTACATCTTGGACATGTCAAGTATTTCAGTGGCCACTTAACACGGACGCAAATCCCCCTGCGCTACTTGCCAACACCTGAGGCCTGGGCTGCTGCTGTGGCTGTTGCTGCGATGACCATTGAGAATGATGCACCGGGGGCACATGCTGCCTGAGAGTACAGTTGGATGTGTTTGCAGGTCACTGACTCGTCCACCGGCACCGAGGTGAAGGATGCTACCCAGGTCATGCAACTGAGAGGTTCCCAAAATGAAGGCCGAGTGTTTCATCGTCAAATGCAGAACTCAAAGCATTTGTCTCATCTCTATCGCATGGTCAAGTAATATGATCGGGACGGAAAAACTTGAAAATATAAGTCATATATGAGACTGTTCATGTGCACTGCGTGACGGCTGATCCACTTGGCTCTGCACGGTCTGACGGGCGTCGGCGGGGTGCTGCTAAAACCTCCTGCAAGCAACTGACCGCCGGCATCATGGTCACCACTACCATGGTCATCGTCGTCATCGAACAAAGACCTGTAAGAAAGAACCGAAAGATGTACAGTATGATATATGATAAATAAGGTCCTTAATTCTTCTCCCTTTTGGGCTATGAGTACATGTCCAACCCCCGAGATACCACCTGCCAAAAACCACCACCTCCAGAGACTGCCAGGGTTCATAGTTCATCCTATTTCACCATGTTCCACCAGCTCGATTCCCCCCCTCCCCTCGTCCCTCGCCTAACCGCGGCACGGCGCCCGAGGAGGTGCTCGGCGACAGGCTCGGCGGCACCACCCGCGGCACCGGCACCGTGGACGGCGCGCTGGCGCTCGGAGAGGCACCGGGCGCCTCAGGGCCCTCGGAGAACCTCGGTGTCTGCGGATCGGGTGGCGGTGCCGTGGCACCGCGGAAAACGCGGAGATTGGACGAAGGGGCTTTGGTCACCCGAGAAATCGCCAGGTTTGGACAGGAGACAGGTGCTTGGTTCCGGCGCCTGCGAGTTTGGTGCCTTTTTTTTCCACGGAGATGACGAGACGCCCGCTGTTGTGGGGGGGGTCCTTGGTTTCTGGAAGGACTGAGTCGAGGGGCGTGAAGCGTCGCGGCCGGGACGGCTCACTCTCGGCCATCTGCGCCGCTGGGGCGGCGCTGGGGCGGCGCCCGGTGCCTGGCGCGGCCCACTAGGCCTTTAGGTGCCAGAGCACTGGTTGACTCACTGTGGGCATCATTGGACAAGGGTCCGAGATGTTTTCAATACCTTTCTATAGCTTTGCAAATTGTTCAGGAAGGGGAGTCCTGTCAGGTCGTCATGGTTCTTCTTTCGATCCACGACTCTGTGCGCTTGCTTAGGCTTGATAGCCTACAGGGCACCTGACCGCACAAGGCACCTGACCGCAGGGCCCGCCAACACTGGAAGACCCGCGGTGCGGCAGGCCGTTTGGGCCAAAGCAACAGTGGCAACGATGCGAACGGTGCCGGACACCGCATGGTGAGGGACACCGAATTGTGGTCAAGCAGCTTGTTCGGTGATGACTACAAAAATCATGTGGGTCAGGGACTACTGACCCTCTATAACGTATGAAAGCTTTTCCAGTTCATGTCACCATGTCAAACCTGAAACCATATGAACAATAGCCGTTCCCACCGGAAAGGAACACACACCTGTGCCAGGCCAGAGGCTGCCCACCATGCGGCACACCATGCGTTAAGCCACCAGCCGCCCGCTTTCTCCGCGGCCGGGTGCACGAAGGCGTTTGGAAGCGGGGCTGGAGAGAGTCAGAGGACTGAAAGAATCTCTGCCAGCACCACGAATTTCGGGTGGTGAGTTGGGAGGGAAAATACAATGTCAGGCGTGTCAATGAACCACCCCTTTCCGTGGTGCTGGTGCTGGTTCTCTACCTTGTGACCTGGGTCATCATCTCTAACATCTCCAAGCCCTCAGGCCGATAAAGTCTGGAGCCGCTTCACACAAACAAAGGGCTGCACCCGGTTGAACAAGCTCCGGCCAACTACCAGCACTTCTTGTGGGCTATAATCTACAATCAAATTGAAACTCTAACTCTCATCTCCCAGAGAGACTCTATCTTGTCATATATATGTCTCTATCTCTTGTCTTCCCAATTTCTCATTGCTTCCAGATCTTGGAATCCAAGTCTTGGATCTTCACCCCCTGTCATCACCCCATTCGTGGCCGTCCCATTTTCTGCCCTCGGCCGTTGGGTGAGCCATTCGTCGCCTGGCGGGAACCCCGGGGAGACGCTGGGAGAGGGGAGGTCAATCTCAACATCAATTCCCGGACGTCCAGTTTTAGATGTTTGCACCACGGATGTCCTTTGAAAGTGCTTCTTGGGCACCAGGAAAGTGAATTCGCGCGAGAAAACGTGTTGATCTGGACACGAACGTCGACACGAATGTCCAGGCCTGGAAAATCCTGGTGCTGCCCATCTGACCCAAACACATTCTGTGGAGCGTTTTCCAACTAGACAGGAGTGAATCTTGCTTGCCCAAACTTCAATCCAGATGTCCATCAATTTCCACCAACTAACAAGCTGGCCACGGGGTCGGCAATCACCCGGTTTATCACCTGGTTGTTCGATGTTGTTTGTGGCCCAAATCATTTACAGTAGATCCACTGGTTCCAAGCATGTTCGTTCGATGTTCATCGTCTCTCTGATGAGCGCCCGGCCCTCATTTTCTGCCACAACAATCTCTGTCCAGTGGCTTCTCTGGCGCATCGACCAAGCCCTCTGCACGGCACAAATGGTTTGGCAGAAAAACGCCGCCGCGACCTGCGAGCCTTCCCTTCATGGCGAGCGTTCGCTTTGGTTCATGGATTCTCTCGCAAAACGCGCATCAATCACCCCGCATCACAATGTGGAAGTTGATGTGGTCCGTCAACTGGAACTCCCCCAGGAAGGGGTCCCAAGCAGTACCCCCATGCCGTTCGAAGTCCACCCGGTCCAGGTCATCTTCCTGATATCTCTGCCGCAGCAGGGCGCCATCCCAAATGCCCAAGCATTCCTCGTACCAGGCGCCGTTGGAGGTGCTAGGATGGCGCAACTGCAGAGATTGGAAATACAAACTGGACAGGAAACAGCGTGGTAGGAGGAGTATGATGACATGAAACCAACTTGGAAGGGAAGGAAAAATGTACTAGAACCTGTTGGTGGCTGATTTCTCTTGGCCATCATCTCAGAATTCCGACCACCTCCAGTGCAACCGGACAACCTATCAACTCCCATCTCCCAGATCCGGACCTGTCGTTCCTTCACCGGGCGTCCAAGTTCACCGGGCTTCGCCCCTCCTCCGGACGGTAGAACTTAATCTCTGAGAACCCGGTCAAGCCCCATTTCTCGATGGCCGCCGACAGGCGCATCGTTCGGCACACGGCCGGCGAGGGGCCCACGGACATGGTAAAGGGGGTTCGCAGCGGAACCGCGCGGATGGGCTTCTGATGCCTCCAGATGTAGAACTTCTTCTGCCAATCGCTCAAATATAAGGGCCAATCCAGCTGCCTCTGCAACCAGGGAATGCCCAGGGTGAGGCAGAAGCGAACCCAACAGCACTCACAGGAGGTGGAATCCCGATGCCAGTCGCGGCACGTCGCGCGGGAGCGCAAGAAGCTCTGGAGCTCCAGGGAGTGGAAGATCGGTACCGTGATGACCTGCAGGGAGACCGGAGGGGGGACACCTTGGGATGGGCGAATTGAACCTTACAGATGCATATATCTAGCGACCACCTGTGACCACTAAATAGATGTCTCAAAAAGTGAGAGCTGTGACAGGGCATGCACTGGATCCCAGTAAACATCTATTTGGGGATGCTGGGTTCAACCATGGAGATTAGCATCGCATAATTATATAAGTAGAGCTCAAAATGAACTGTTTTCCATGCACCATCCCGTCAACAAACATGGAAGCGGACCACCACCTGTTTGGTATTCGGAAAACGGCCTTTCCGACTTGGTGACCAAGTTCTGAGTTCTTGGTTACACAAGCGCAAACCCCGCAGGAAAGGGCAAGTCATCGATCTCGGTAAGTCTGTCAGGATCAATGTCCCGCCTCGTAGCGACATACCTCTCATGCATATCCACCCCACCCGAATGACACCGGCAGCCCCAAATAGCACAGACTAGGAAACTCACGAGGTGCAAATATGCGGTCACTCGGCCTCTGAAACTCGCAAACCGGACCCAAATGCAAATTTAGCAGGGCGGCTAGACAAGTAAAAAGAACATTTAGCGATCAGAGCCTCGGCAAGTTTGCCTCAATTTGTCTCCAGAGTTCCAGGTTTCCAGGCCAAAACTTGCAATCAAAGCCTGGCTTTGGACTCATAAGGTGGGGGCCACAGAATTAAGGTCTGACAAGAAGGGAAGTCATAACCCCATTTTGGCCCGTGGCTTCTAGCTCTTCGGGAAAATATCAGCCACTCTCAAGTGGATTCATGTAGTATATTGAACCCACCACGCTGAAGCCCATCGCCACGGCCTGTGAGTGATACGCAAGCTTTGTGCACACTCCCAGCCCCAACTGCGTCGCTTTCGCGTCGCCCGTGCACGCACTGGCCGCGGCGTCCGCTGTGTCAGGCGCTGCTCTGCTGGCGCCCGGGTCCGCCGCAGGCATGCGCAGTGGGCGCTGGAGTGCGGCTCGGTGGTTGGGTTGGTTGATGGACAAGCCCGGGCGATCCAGGTGCTTCTCAAACCTGGATCATGGGTGAAAACGGTGCATATACACATAAACTCTACCATACACTATCACATAAAATACACTTAAATTTATATACCACGTACGCGTCGTTTCTGCCGACCGGTGGATTTGATAATCACAGGTTCCTGGTGCATTCCAATGGTCTGAGTGTGATTCCCCACCTACAATGCTTCCAAAACCGTTCAGCACCCCGACCGAGCAGATCCACGTCCATCTCCATCCATCTCCCATTCCCATCATCCCATCATCCCATCTCCATCGAACAGATCATCTCAGCTCGCCGAGTGGCAGCTCTCCCAGGGTACTCCGTTCACCGTCCAGCTCCACGACCGCTCCAGTGGGCGCCCGCAACTTGAACGCCAGGCTCGTGCGCCCAGCGGCGCGGCCCGGCGCCAAGCGGTGCACCACGGCGCGGTACGCACCCCGCGTGAGCAGTTCCAGCGTCTTTCCCGCGAAAACCACCAGCCCCTCCGTGGCAGGGACCTGAGATTGGAGGGTGCACTGTGCACCACCCTATCATCCCTATCTATTTGACCACTCTCAACTTCTAGTAACTACAGTAGTGGTTTCCGGATTGAGGACGTTGAAGAAACACCCCATCCATGGCCCCCTTGCCTGTGACTTCCCTGGCGCGCCTGCACCCAAGCGCCATGCTGGAAAATCTGCAGGGCACCATCCTGTGCAAACGAGGACGGGTGACCTCCTCGAGCGTCACGACTGATGCGGGAAGTTTCACCATGCACTACGTCACTATTTCGAGAGGTTTTCAACCATGAATCCGCTCCTGGCTAATCGTCAAGCATTCGGGGGTTACCATTCGCACACCCAAAACCCGGTTCACTTCACGACCCCCAAACCGTCCGTCCCAAACTGTCCTGGTTCGTCACCAGGGTCAGTAGACCCCGGTCTACGTGATCTCCGCAGGCGTCGCCGGAGTAGGAAAAGATGCTCAGCACGTGCTGGTCCGATGCGTCGATCAAGGGCTTCAGCCGGTCTCGATAGGTGCCTCGGTCAGTCCGCGCGTCTCGGATGAGGTCGTTGGTCAATGGGGAAGGACGCACTCCAATGATCGTGGTTCATGAGTTCTCTACATGTCTCTAAGCAAGTCTAAGCATGTCTCTACATTGCCCTAAAGTCATCTAGTGTCCTGTTTAGGAGGGGTGCCGCACCAACATGTTCCATATGCATGTGCTGCTCTCCCTTGGCACTCCCAGAACACAGTAAAGTCTTAACCTACAAGGCACGTGGAGGAGAAAGTCTTCGCTGCGGAATGCCGGAACGTGCACCGCATTCGGAACGTGCTTGGAGAATTCATCGGTTCTTCAGACCATTCTCGTCTACAACCCAGTGGTCTTGGGGGGGTCACTTGGTGCCACCGGTCACTTGGTGCCACCGGTCTCTCCACTTCGAAGCCACTCACCATCCGAGTGGCCAGCCCCTCCGGAGAACATGTCGATCGCATATCCGAGTCGCTGCGCCTCAGTCCGCTTCCGGAGCTCAAACTAGGTCAATCGTAATGACTCTTTCACTTCTAGGACGGCATGTCGACACGATTCTCCAGAAAGACTGAACGAACGTGAACTTCAGAGGTGGTTCTCTTGAGGTTGCTCCAGTTCCGCCAGTTTGTCAGAGTCTCCCTGTACTTCGCACCAAAATTGCTTGCAAATGGAGCTTGTGACCCCGCTTCAAGATGCACCCTGGCTCTATTGCATGCGCTGGCAAAAACGAAGCCCTCCACCCGGGACAACATGGCCTGCGGCAGCGGCTGAAAGCCGGGCTCGCTCGCTTGTAGGGCCATGAGCACTGCTCGGGCCAGCCGCTCAAAGCCGCGGAAGGCCGCGCGCGCGGCGCAATCGGCGCCCGGGCGGGCGCTGGGTGCATCCACCTGCGCCGGCGGGCGGGGGCTTGATACACAGCCAACATGTGGACTCCTTCCTACGAGTTTAATCGGCTTCCGAAAGGTTTCACCGTGACATAATCACCTGACAGGCTTGGAAACCATGAGCTTTCCAAACCTTTTGATCACCGGAAATGTCTGGCCACCCTAAAAACCTGGCTTCGAGCTGCACTGACACCAGGTTCCCAACCAGTCAACCAAGCAACCATCGCTTTGGAGATGTGCACGCACTCCTTGCCCGGGAGCTCCACCACTTCTGGTTCCAGCACGGACCCGCTCGCGCTCGAGAGCTGCGCGGAGACGGGCCGAAAGAACTCGCGCTTCGTTTCCGCGTCCAGCTTCATGTAGTACCTTCCCACGCGCCGGTGCATGGGATCTACGAGGACGATCCGGGGCAGGTGAGATCGGCGGCACCCATCGAATCTACATCTCAAATTGGGGGGCCACGCCAAGTCAAATTGGTGTAGTTTGGATTGGTGGAGTCCAGTTTAGTGACCATGTTTCCGGTCACTTTTGCAAGTCTTCCAGGCAGGAGGGCTCCCTACATTGATTGAGAGAGACCTAGCTGCTTGAAACGTAAGGTGAGTACTCATCGGGGCTCCAGAAGTTCGGGACCACCAAACAATGAAGGTGCGGAAGCATACGAGCCGCATCAAATGGTCCGAAAAGACCTACAGTGCGTCTGTTTATTTACAGTGTTTCGGAATTGGAGTCTCTTTTCAGCATCGACCCACGGGACATTCAAAAAAATGCCCCAACTTCCTTATTTAAACACCGTCTCTTCACGCGAACGGCGTGCCAGATCGCGAAGCCCGCTCCTGGCGGCGACGAGAAAGCTGGTGGCGTCCGTGAGCGCCGAGAAGAGGTTCATCTTCCACGGCTTGGCCTCGCTTTGGAGGATCAACGGCCGCCCCTCCCGGAAGGCCAATCCAACACCTGGGCGCGCGTTGGCGTCACTGACGGAACAAGGATCCGCTGGCATGGACCGGCGCGACCGATCGGTAGGTGTTGGGAGAAATCGGATTTCAGAAGTTCTTGGGGTGGTGCCATGTGGTGCCCGGATGGTGCTCCAATGGCGACTCTTTGATTTCTGGCTGGACATTGAGAGCATCGGATTGTCTTCCTTAAGCCCTGATGGGTTCTCCATCTTGAACTCCACTGTCTCGCCTCGCGAACCGCCCCACACCGGGCGGAATCAAAACCCAGCGACGGTCGGCAAGGCAGCGATCCTCCACGTAGCGCAAAGGTCGGGACAAGTTCATCTCCTTGGTCCGAACTCATGTTCGGCAGTCGGCTGCCAGTCAGCCTCTTTCGAAATCGGAGCGTCTGACCCTCTAGCCTTTTTCCGGGAAAAACGGTGCTGTGTTTATCAGAGTGTAGGTTTAGGGATTCTGGCTGGCAAACCGGGTGGTTCAGGTGGTTGATGCCACCAACCTATTCAATAATAACTTTAATATAGCAGGATCCAACCCTGTTTAAGTGCTTCCACCCCAAAACGTATCGGACGGATCGGCTTGCACACACCAAACTGGTCGTGCGTTTGGGATGCGGAGAACCCAAGCTTTTTATCAGCACTGGCGGGACGGCTATAGTACTTATGGAGATCTGATTTTCTGGGAGGCCCACAAGGAGATCCGGCTAGGGGTATTGACACAGCGCATCTAGCCATAGGCAACTCAACTTCGCTCAATCCAACGTCCCTGTCAGAAAATGAGACACCCAACAAAATGCAATCACCTGGCAATCCACTATAGGTGGCCAGTCGCTAAAAATGTTGAGTTGTATCGTAGTATAACTCTGTAATTAGTATGCATTCTCCTCCACATCAAACCCGAACTCATCTGCATGGGCATAGAAACCTGCACCGAGTCGCCAACTCTTCCGCCCGCAGCATCTCCACGCCCGGCGTGGCCGGCGGCATGGCCGTGTTTTCCCGTCTTCAGTCCGCGCCACACATGGACACGCGCGGTCACGGTAGGCGGGGCAATGGTCTCGAAGCCAAGGGTGCAACGGGTGGGAGGTGGAGGAAGAGAGCAACTGGAAGCAGCAAACTAGGAGGAACTCTGAGAGTACTATTCCTACAGACCTGACTGACAGTTCCAAAGAAGATCCTTCGACGATCGACCGGGATGCTACGCCGCCGACCGGGCGTCCGGTCGCCAAGACCAGCCCGCCAGTCCATTGGTTCAGCTCGATCAGCTACACTCCCCACACACACAACACCTCGTAAGGGTGACGTTTAAGTAGAAAAGTGTTCTTGACTGAGCTCGATCTTCCTCCACACCCCAAAAAGAAATCCAAAACAAGGACTGTCACCGACAGAGCCGACTGAGATCTGTACATACCATGCTTTTGATCCAAGTCCACCAAGCAACAAAAAACCAGTCACCCGTGCTTTCCGACCGCGGCTCGCCGGTCGCCGGTCGCCCCAATCCACGGGCTTGCCTCGTCACCTCATCCAGCCATGCTCCGGCCGATCATGGCAACAATTGCCGAGGAACTGTCATGGCCAGAATGGCCAACCGTTTCATGCATCACCTCTACTAAGGTCTGCTGACTCTTTTGACCAAAAAGGATGTCTATGGAACAGGCCCGTTCCACTTCAAAGTAATCATGGGTGCATGCGTGACGCAGAAATGACAATTGACTTGATAGACCAAACGGCCTCAAAGTCACTTTTGCATAACACCAGGTCAGCAATCCAAGATGAGCAAATACGCCCAATGTTCAGAGGACCTGGTGGGAAGCAAGACTTTGCTCATCACCTCTTCATGTCACTAGTAACAAGTGCCTCGCTAGTAGTAACAAGTGCCTTACTAGTAGTAACCAATTAGCATTAAATTAAATTAGCTTAAACTTTAAAATACATCTGGGGAGTCGTCCAAGTCAACCCGAAATACCTCAAGCCCCGCACTCCTCCACGCGCTCCTGGCACCGCTCTTCCTTTTTGCCCGTCATTCCACCGGTCGAAGCTTCAACCCCCTCGGCAGCGGCTCGGCGGCTCGGCTCAAACGCGCAAGCACGCTCAAACGGGAGGAGAAGACGTCGAAAAGGAGTGATTGACCGGGTTGCCTTGATTGCTTGCTTCTGGTATGTGTTTTCTGGATGACCTCATGACTCCATGACCTCATGACATGAAGGGCTTCGCTTGTATGTCGTAGTTGAACTTCTGACATTGATGAATCCCACAATGAGCATATAAGAGTTTATCCGCCTGTTTCCGCCTGAACATCTGTGCAGGTCATGAAGATCTCAGCTTTTGCTTCAAGCGACTTTGGAAAGGTTTAGGGCCGTTTAGGGCTTAGGGGTTCAAGAGCATCCACAAAACACGACAAAGTTATATATAAATAATTATGTTTCTCTCTCTCTCTCTCATCACCTGTTTTCCACGTGCTTGGAGGGAGAGGTTTCACGACGAACCGAACCTCTTGAAGCATCGTGGCGCCACTAGCAGTCAGCTGCGCTTCGAACTCGCGCATTCGATCGTCCCACCTACCCAGCTACCACCCACACAGCATCCCACCTACTTCACCCAGGATTCCACCCTTCCCAACTCGGTGAAGACTGTCTCATCCCGGCCCCACATCTGGGGCCCTCGCGATGGCCGAGGAGCTTCCTGCAGCAAATGCTCAAGTGCCAGAGCAGCTCAAAGGCTCAAAGGTCACGGAATCACACTACCGTCCCAAAAGCACATATGGAAGCGGATGGGCTCATGGTTCGGCAAGGACTGGACGTCATTCTTTGAGCTCCAGCTCCATGGCCAACCAAACCGGAGCAGTGATGGCAAGATGACTACTGCCTCATCCAGCACTTGTCTGAGTCTAAGGCTACACGACTCCGTACAATGCAAAAAAGATTCCTCCCACGACCCAATAACTGCCAATAACCAATGGACTTGCCTGGGATTCATTGGCATGCCATCCAGCAACCCATTGAAGGTTCAGAAACTTTCGACCGTCTCTTGGTTCCATGATGTTCCATGTTCCATGATGCATGGAGTAGTTTCACGCTCCTCTCACGCTCGTGTCACTCGGCAAAAATGGACCGTTGGAGTTGAAAGTGTTCCGGCCGCCTCCTGCAACTCGGTCGTGATGGCCTGGAACCAACACAGCCGGACCGACGGGCGACGACGGCGATGTGTCGCCCGGACAGAGCATCACCCATACTCTGAAGAAGCTCTCCTTCACCAGAGAAGAAACCATTAATTTTGCAAATGCCTCTTTGCATTGTTTTCGACCAATTGGAATGGCTAGGAGGTTCTTGTGCAGTTGAAACTAACATCGGATTTCAACTGTATAACGAGGGCATGGTCTGGCCTGCTGGCTGGCCCCAAGCACAAGCCACAAGCCAAATTGGAACAACATGTCCAGCCCTCACATCCAAGCGAAGAACTCAATCTTTTCCGCAAACATCGCCAGGCTGGTAGCTGAGGGACTGGAGCTTGCCACCCAATGAGAACAGTCTGCCATCGGGCTCTTTTCGCTGTCCACCCCGCAAATCCCAAACGACCCACTCTCGGATCTGCCGCCATTCTTGCCTCGCTGGGCACCAGCTCCTTGAGCATGCCGCCCAAATCCCGCCCAAAGGTCGCGAAGCTGCCGCGCCTCGACGGGGGGTTCAGGTGGGTAGATGAGCTTGCTCTCCCTCTCCCTCTCCCTCTCCCTCTCCGTCTCCCTCTCTCTTCCCCTCTCTCCCTCTCTCTCTCTCTCTCTCTCTCTCGGTCTCGGCAGCATCTGGCTACAACGCAGCCGTCCCACAGGGATACGCTGAGGAAGGACGATACCGCTGCTGGACCCCTCAGCCAATCTTCTACACATAGCCACGGCGGATGTTAATTACCAACGGAGACCCGAAAAGCCCAACAGTCTTTGGGCTCCTTCACACAGAGAGAGAGAGAGAGCGAGCGAGCGAGCGAGCCAAGTCTGGCAAAGTGGCCAAAGCTGTCGACCGAAAACTCGACGACAGGTGGCTGGCAGCCCGTTGAAAAGCAGCATCCAAAAGCATTTGTTGATGTTGGGCCATCGGAGTAGATGGCACAATCCCCAAGGTCGGTGGTTTAGATTGGTTTAGTAGTGGACCCCACTACAAAAGACATCTCCGGGGTGCCAGTGCCATGGCGCCAGTGCAATCAAGCCGTCAAGGTGTTTCTCCTTCAGTACATCGGAAAAATGAGCTCCAAGCAACCCTCATAGATAGGGTTCCAGGGTTCTGGAAAGGATTTGATGAGGATGTTCATGGGGGGTGATACCCGTGCTATGCCTGCTATGGCCTGAAGGAACTGATCGCTCCATTCACGTACGCGAAAATGGAGACGTCATCCAGCGTGAGGGCCTCGAATCGGTGCAGTGGATCGATGGGCCGTTGGTGCGACGTCTATGCTGTGAAGAAAAAGAACCCGAACGCTCCCCAGAAGCAAAAAGAACTGTCTGTCTGGGACATGTGACATGTGTGATCATGTGTGACATGTCCATCATTTCACTTGGCTGGCCCTTCTTCACCTCAGAGGGGTGGTAGCTCATCGTGGCCGTCGTCATGTGCTGCAGCGCCGCCGCGAACCTGCCGAGAGCACCGTGGGCGGCGTGATCTCCCAGGCGTGGGTGCCGCCCCCGCAGGTTTCGGGACATCGGCACGTGAGTGACCAGTCTACCCAGCCAGGGCCCAGCTAGGGTGAGGATTCAAATGTACACCCATGATCTCTCCCTTTCTGTGCATGCCCCTGCTCCAAAGTGTTTCATTGGAGGATGATCCCTGGATCTTCGGCGCCGAGCCCACCGAGCCCAGCGACCCAACGGTCCATGGACCGACCGAACAACGACCTCCCCGGTGGACCTTCGGCGGGACCCGCCGGTGTTCTCTCCTTCAAAACCACGGGATGTCCCGCTGTGCCTACACGGGTGCCCAGACGGTGGATTCGGAATTCGTCTGTGCCCCGCACCCAAACCAATGACTCGTTCGCAGCCGATTCACCCAAACAAACTTGTCTGCTTGATGAACATCGATCTGGTACGGTGGCGCTGCGAGTCTTACCATCACAGATTCCAATCCATCTGCCTTTGCTTGGTGCCCGCAGCTTTGCAGTCCTCGAGCGAAACCATCAACTCGCATGGATGAGCTATGACAATTTGGCATGCAACACCGCAATCTGTACCCCCGACACCCCGCAGATGCTCAACAACAGCACCCGGTTTTGCACCCAACTACCGCATGGACCCATTCTTCTCCATGCACGTATCCAGCCATGCTGGTTTCGCATGGTTTTGCAAGTTGGTGCTGGCCTTGATCTATTCCCGCCTCCCCACCTTCAATTCGATGGTGTTTGACCAAACCCTTCTGCGTGGATGACTTTGGATCGCCATAATCATATATATATATATAATGTAGACATATATATTTATAACAGAACACTATATATGTATAGCTGTATATATATACATATCTATATCATTCTATATCTATATATGTGCGTGATGTATTTTTAGCATCATAGCAGACCTAATCCTTCCTAATGGTCACCCAACGCCACAAGATGGTCACCCAACGCCACTCCAATCGTGGTTTCAGTCCGCTCCTCGAGCACCGCCAGCACCGGCGGGCCAATCCAGTCGTTCAGCATGGCGAGCGCCTCCTGAAATCGGGGCTGTTTGACCGGTTGATCGGCCCGGCCTTTAAAGCTGAGGTGAGGAAGTCACGGAGTTTTGCTATGGGCCTATGAGGATCCACTCCAGTTAGATGATTCGGTTCCATATGACTAGGCTCATGACTAGGCTGTGCAAATACCACAGGTCTCGACACAGCCAAGTTCTCGGGCCCTGCAGTGAGGCCAGCAAAACTCAGCACACTCACAGAGGAAGTGCTGGTTTCCTGTGTTGTGTTTTGACGAGTTCAGGACCAATGTCTCGGTTCGTCTCCAAAAAAAAAACGGCAACCGGACTCTTCAAAAAGGAGGGGGGACTGGCAGAAGACCAGCTTCCTTACCAAGGGTCAGAACCGCTTGCATGCTCCGCGAAAAACATCGAGGACCGCGTTTAATGATGGATCTTGAAATGCCCGACCCTGGTGAAGGTGGCCTACCTGATCCAAGCACATGCCTGGGAAGCAAAGAATTTAGGCTATATAGCTTGCATAATCAAAATGTGACAGACAGACAGTCAGTCGTTGTGGCCTTCATGGCTTTGTTGGTCTTCATCACCATCTTGGCCTCGGCGTGGGCAAGATAACTAAGCCGGCTGCATCCGGCTGCGGATTTCGGGCCAGGTGCCAATGCCACGAGCTTCGACCAATCCGTCGACCAACGCACGAGCGACGCGACGCACGACCGGTGTCCGAACCCACCGACACCAACGACGGAGGCATGTGCGACGTTTGCGTGGAGTCTGATGGAGTCCGGGGCAGTCCGGTGGCCACACGCGTGGGCCTTGGGAACCGCACCACGATGCTTTCCCAGACCTCCTTCTCCAACGTGTGACCTCCCAAAAAAATGGGCGGGGACGTCCTGTAAGGGGTTGGCTCTCATCACCTCCATGGTCTCATGATGTCTCAGCACCATTCAGCACCCATAACGAAAGAGGTGCGTCTGGTCAAATCTATTCGTCTCAAGTCTCAAGTCTTCATGTGCAAAGGATGGTCAATGAAATTGGAGATACGATTTAGACCTCAAACAGAAGTTTGGAAGATATCTACTGAATTGTAGCCATAGCCAGGCTTGATCCACAAGAATTCTCAACCAGGGAGGGCAATCCAGACAGCTGACCTTTGTACAGTGGCTTCGGTGTCTTGAAGTGTCTGGGTACCGCTACATGCCGTGATTTGTTTCGCTTCCTGCTGTGTCATGCCAGCATGGCTCACACGCCAGCGTGGAAAGACCTGTTCCAAACTAAAGATAGGAACCCTTTAACAAAAAAGCAGTTTCAAGTCTACACAGAACCAAGGACTCGAGCTGATTCCATGGCCCTTCCCGCCTCCAGCCTTGCAGCGCTCCGCCTCAAAGCCTGGGTTCCGGTGAGTCCGGGATGAGGGGTCCGAGGGTTTCTTCGTTTTCCCAGCCTACAACCCGCACCTGGGAAAGACGGGTGGTGGATCAGATCCGCTCCCGAAACACCGACGCAACCGGGCCAAACAGCTACCGGCCGGGAGATCCGCTCCGGTCGGCGAGATCCGCGGTCACGAGCCTTGAAGGAGTCCGAAGATGACTTTCCGGGAGAACGGGTCGCCCTGGCAGGCAGTGGCGGGGCAGTGACAGGGCCGCCCTGTGAAATCCTCAACCCTCTCAAGCTATTGAGCCCAGGCTCCGTAGTTATTCTTGGCCGTTTGCCGTTTGCCGGCAGCAGGCTTCGCGTAACGATGGCCTTTCTGGCGGACTTCGCCCTCCAATGATATCTCCGGGCGCAGCAAGGTGTCACCAACCTGTTGAGTTAATTGCCTGCTCTCATACACACATAAAAGAATCAACTCCCCCAACATCCTAATTCCATGGGTTAGTTTGGGCTTGTCATTGAAGCATCAGATATTTATTTTATATTGTCAATTCTTTAAAGCTTCAGCAGCTTAAGTCCATTCCTTTATATAATATAAATGTGTCTGGAAACCTCAGCGCAGGACCCCCGCACGTCGTCCTGCTCCCGCCCAACCTCTTTCATCGCCAGAGCTCCGGCAGAGCAAAAGCTCTTCTTTTTCTACACCACACCTTTTCAACAAAATCTTTCGAACCGCAACTCCGATGATGTTGCCAACCAGAACACCTTTCACCTCTTCTCCAACCTCTTCACACAAAACCGAACCATTCCAAGCCTCCCGGACTCGGGTCTCGGTCGACCGACCCCGCGCCTCGGTCTCGGGCTCCTCTCCACTCAAGCGCACGGTGGTCAGTGCGGGGTTCTCACCTGCCTCGATGGGCGGACGGAAGGTTTCCAAACAAAAGAGGCCACGAGATACCGCGAGACACACAAAACACCCAAAAAAGAACCGCTTTGAACATGCAAGAATCTCTGGCTCTGATCTTTTCTCCGTTGCACGGCCTCCTTTCAAGATCTACTGTATCTATCTAAGTGAAACTATTTTCTTCATCTGCGCACGGCCAGTGGAAGCACCTAGGTCGTAGGTACCGGGCGGTTGGGCAATTCCCTTTGCCGGGAGCAACTTCTCACCAGCTTTCTTGCAGCCAATGGAGTCCCAGAACGAGACGTCCAACCGCTTCACTCCATCCCGCTCCAGCGACGCCAGCCACGCCCAAGGGGGATGTTTCACATGCCGATGTTGGGCCAAGATCTGGACCAAGTCGTCGACCTCGGTGAGTCAGCTGGGGTCGAAAGAAGCCCGCTGTATTTCATCAGCTCTCAGTTCTCACGGTCCTGCTGACCTCAACCAACTCGTCAACTCAGGAAAGCGATCCTCCTCAGCTCCTCAGTGAGTCTTCCCTTCTGAGCCGCTAATTAAAGAAGTTTTATCAGCTCAGAAGTCCTTGCCGGTGCTGCGGTGCTAGCAGTGTCCCAGCTATCCTGCTGGATGCGAGGTTGGAATCGTTCGGCCTCTTCTGCTTTTGGTGGCGCTGGTGGTGGGGAAGTTGCTTGCACCTTTGCCCTTTGGAGCCGCTTTGGGGGCGCGGTCGTGTAGTGCCACCTTCAATTTAAAGTCCCATCCATCGGCTGACCGAAAACTGCAAGGCTCTTGGGCTGCGCAACCACACCTGAGCCCAAAAATACGCACATCTCGCTAGAGCAAACAGCAAAGGAGCGGTAACATGACCCGTCTGCACTGTGAGACCAAAGGAGCGGAAAGTGAGAGCACAGCCACGGAGGGTCACCATGAGGTGGTGTGGTGCCAAGAACTTGAGTTCTAACAGCTAAGAACCTTTAGATCGAAGTGTCGAAATCTCTCGGACCTGTATGCTCTCTCGTTTCCAGGTTGCTATGTGCCTGCGGGATGTCCAGATTTGCAGCTCTCGAGCCAAACCAGCATGATCCACTCCTGACTCCTTGACCAGCCTGGAACCTTGATGTTCAGAGGAGAAAAACTTGAAATAAAGCTTTGTATAGCAAGTGCATCGCTTCTAGTAACAAGTGCCTTACTAGACTAGTAGTAACAAGGTTCGCTACTAGGAACAAGTGCCTTACTAGTAGTAACAAGAAGCTACTAGGAACAAGTGCATCGCTTCTAGGAACAAGTGCCTTACTAACAAGAAGCTACTAGGAACAAGTGCATCGCCGCGCTTCTAGGAACAAGTGCCTTACTAGTAGTAACAAGAAGCTATTACAGCATGGAGTCTTGAAACCTCCCACCCACCCGTAGCCACAGCACGGCTCTTTGCTCACAGATCCCAGCACAACGCGCGGGACCGTTGCCCCAGTGGTCCACTGTGCGCATGTACACGCGGGCTCTGTGCTAACAAAACCCCCAGCAGAGTGTTGCACTGTGTTTCCAAGTGCCGATTGGCATCAAGGTTGGAAATTGCACACCCCACCCTAAACTTTAAAACCCCCCAAGCTGCTCAGCTGCAATCGCCCACCTCGGCCACCACAGGGCTTGTCTCCACAAGGCCCATGTCCTGCCGCAGCTGGCAGCTACATTTGCGGTGTGAAAGTGTTGATCGCTTTGCATTTTATGGTGGAAAATTTAAGAACACTCACTCATACCATACTACACGCAGAGTGCATGGACGGGCAGGGAGGGGACTCTGTCTTGCTCAGTCCCGAGGCCCCCGCAACAAAGCCCAGATCTTCAAAAAGCAAATCCCTCACACTAGGCCTTGGTTGGCTTTCTGTTTTTTCGGAGGACTCTACTCATGACGGGCTTCGGGGCCGTGTTGCAGGGCGAGCTATAATCTTTGTCAAAACATACATTGTCTTTGTCAGGCGTACCATCTGTGGTGGGCTCTGGGTTCCAAAATTCTCCACTTGGGCCATCTCCCACACGTCTTGGGAAAGGAAACTATGGATGCCAAATACCCCAGCGCCACCTCTCTCGCCTCTCCTTCTCCAGCTGCGCATGGAACGCGCGCGCCCGCTGGGCGCGCTCGCAGGGCACCGGCCAGCGCACGGGCAGGGAGCGGATGGCGACCGAGTCCAGGGATTGGAAGCGCGACAAGGCCACGTAGAGTTGAGCAGTGTCCTCAAAATCCACTGAACTTCGATGATAATCTTGGCTAGAATACTAGAATAAAGAAGTTACTGAGATGTTTGAAGGCTCTTCTTGGGCTCGTCTTTTCACAAACCAAGATGGTCAATTTTAGATTTTAGGTGGCGAGACCTCGCAAAGTTGAAGTTGCTGGGTTGACTTGAGTTTGGAGGCCCTGGGAGGCCAGAATCTGTCCACAAACAACATGAGTTCTTTTTTGGCATTCAGACATCCAGACAGGATGTTGTGGCATCCAGACAGGTCGAGGCTCGAAGACCCGGGCAAGTTTGAGCTCCCCACTCCGCAGGGTCAAACCCTGCATCTTGTGCACCGTCAACGCCCACGCCAGCTTCAAGGGCAGTTGCCGCCGCTCGTACCTTTCTGCGGGCCAATTCTCGGCGTCGCGGACCAAGGTGGAGAAATGTGCGACCGAGGTTGTCGAAAGTTCATGTACGCATATTTCTGCACAATGTATGTTCATGGGTGGCTTTGCTGACGACCTACACAACGATGGCTTCATCACAGCGTCAAAAATTGAACATCCCTGAATGAGCATCGATCGGATCACGTCGCACGTGGCTGAGTCTGTGTCAGGTGAATTTGGTTACTATGCGACAGGAGAGGCCAGCAGCTGCTTCCGGCCCCTCGCTGGCCGCACTGTTGCTGCCATTTCCGGACAACTCGTGGAGGCATTTTGATGCACAGCTTTAAAAACTTGTCACCCCCCAGACAGGCAAATGCCACAGAAAAAATAAGAAAATGCCCTTGGTCATTTCTGTCTTGAGCAGATGCAGACCTTGATCATCTTTGATCTGCTGCCCTCTATAACAAATAGGACGGAGCCAGTCTTGGAGTCTTTCCACAAAAGGCCACCTCGCATGAGGAGACGTCGTGCGACAAGTAGGCCTAGCTAGCGAAAAAGGCTCATAGTCATCATAGTCTTACGCATCGATTTGGAGAGCCCGGTTGCAAGCGCCATCATTGATTTCGTCAAGCATCTTGAGTCTTCAATCGGTCTCGCGCGCGTGTACAAAACATGGAGGTTGCTTCGGGCTTCGTCAGGGGCAGCAATGTGTCGCAGCGTGAGCTGTGATTTGTTTGGTTCTGCTTGGTGTGAAGAACGCAATCACACAAAGTCGGGTGGGTGGTCTTGTCAAGGAAATGCAGCACATATATACCGGTCACAATTCTTGAAATGCTTCAAGCTGCATGCTGTTGCTTGTGTCATCCGATGGTTTTATTGCTCACATTGTTGTTTTTCCTCATTTGAGCTCCAACTCCCTTCACAAATGACACAAGGGTCGGAACATGTATACTCAGTGCATCCTTCATCTTTGTTGGTGTCGCTTTCAACGATGTTTTGCCCCCGCCACCGCTATCTTGTCCAAGTTTGCTGAGCACAACCAATGGATCACGAACCACAACCAACTTGGCCCAATCTGAGTCAAACATCATCCGAAAAGCAGATTTGCTCCCTTAATTCTGCCAAAGGCGATTACCACGTTCTCCCACCATGGTCTATAACAGAGGGGGCAGGGAGCCCTCGAACTGGAACTTTTGCCCAATGCATGGGTGACATCATGCGGTTAATGCAAAGGCGCATTCACCTACAGTAAGAGTGATAAGATAGAGAGGCAAGCAAAGCACTGCAACAGTTGCAAAAATGTTTCAAACGCTTGCACGTAACACATCACAACAGCAGCAAGCTTTTCTCTGATAGGCTCCGGAGAGTTCACCGCCTTTGTATTCAGATCACTTATATAAGTTGGCTTTGTCAGACTCAGAGCAAAATGCCCCATCTCACTGCTGCTGAGGCACTGCCCCAAGAAGCCCAACTCCCCACTGTCCGTCACCGGTGTGACGGTGACACGGAGGCCCTTGGCAAACTCCACCACGGGGTAGGCGGTCGCATCGTCGGGAAGCTCCGGAGAGGTCTCAAAGCCTACCACGACGCCTGGCCGAGGACGGGAGGTCTGAAGCTCCCTGGAAAGCTCCGCGGCGTCGCACGTAGCCGGACGTGTCATGAAAAGCCGCCAGACATGGAAGATCTGCAAAGTCCTCCAATTGAATGCCATTAAGACGCCCACAAGGTGAAAAAACTGACACCTAAACTAAGGTTCTTGGGAGGCTGCCTTTTGGGGGGCAAGTGCACATGCGAGGTGCAGTGGCTATGGAGCCCTACATGAAGCGAAGACATGCCACAGGGCAGTACGGTTGGTTGAGCAGGACGTTCACAACAACATCAGACTCATGCTCACGCTGCCAATCACCCCCCTTCTGTGCGCCTACACTTCCATTCACGAGGGGTGTCTCGCGGTACTCCTCCGGAAGTGCCATCATCTGATTTGGCTTCGCCAAGGCTTCCAGGGCCGCTAAGGCTCCACCACTCGTCAAGCTGGGCATGCTGAAGGCCCTTGGGGCGCCACGGTGGCACCGGTGCGGCAAGCGCTTGTTCACCAAGAGCATGACCTCGCGGTCGGACGTCGTGTTTCACGAACCAAGCCCAGCAATCCGACCCGTCCCAGCTTCACCGGCTCAAAATGCAAGGGCTAAAACAATCCCCCAGTCTAATGAAATATGATCATATATTCAATCCCTCTTCTACCTACGCACACGCACACACACTTAGGATAGGGTGTACTGAACTGAAAGCGGTGCCACACGCC